ACGTTCTTTCCTTTCTTCTTCTTCTCTCTCTCTCTTCTCTCTCTCTCTCTCTCTCTCTCTCCCTCTCTCTCTTTTTCTCTTTCTCAAAAAAAAAATAAAAAAAAATCAAAAAATCTCTTTCCGATCGAAAAATCAAATTTTTTTTTCGAATTTTTATTATCTCAACAACGTTTCTTCGATTTCCTTTCGACAACTCAATTGAAAACAGTTTTCGTGAAAATTATTTTGAAAAAATATATGTGTATATCTATTCCGTTACCGATGAGGTGTATACTCATGCTGTTATTTCAAATAGCTAAGCTTCACACAGTCATGCTTTTACTTTTTTTTTTTCAAAAGGAAAAAAAAAGAAAAATAGAAAATCGGTATAAAATCATATACGTACTTTGTACGGATGCCGATCACGATTTGGAGATACAATAATCTCTTGTCCAGTCTGCAAGGATCCGACAGGTGTAGACTGAAAACGAAACACAAATATTACGTTACAAAAGAGCGTATTATTACCAGGCGTGTATACATATATGATGAATTTCGTATAACATACTTGGTGACAGGAAAAGAACAATAATTGACGGTAATATTCAACATTATTATTTCGTACACTGTTCTTCGTATTGGACAGAATAGAACGAGCATTCAAATCGAAATAAAAACCGGATTAATATCATGATTAATATCGTCTGCAAACAGAAAGCATCCCAATTAACCGATAAAAACATGCTGTACGATTCATTCACAAGCATGAAAGAAGAATAATAATAATAAAGTAATAATAGTATAGAAGTGAAAATATAAAATTACAGATTAGAAATCTAAACTGGATTACTGGATGGATTAGCATGTATCAACGTTCTACTAAAAGTGAAAAGCTTTTTAATACGAGAATACGTGGCGATGGAAAGGATATTTGCTATTGCTACTGTTAAAATCTAAAGAATATTTCTAAACTGCGAGTTTAAATTAAATATAAATTGAATATAAAGACGAGAGAGGAAAGGAATGAAGATGCGCGTGCATAAGTGGTAAATACAACTTTTAAGCGTTTTTTATAAATCAGTAAATAAACGAATCTCGATCAGAACGAGATATCGTGTTTCTCGAAGGATATGATAAATAAGAACTTTTACGCTCAAGAAGATAAAAATCGATAAGTTTTCAGCATCGTTCCATGTGCTTTAACGATTTTGCTTCGAGCAAAAATACACTTTTTTTCTCTCTCCCTTTTCACAAATTATTTTGATGTTTCACAACGTCTTATTCTTTCGTGCACGTTAACGCGTTCTTACAAATAATTTCGATCAAACAGAGATAGATATATATTTGAGTACAGCTACATAGAAACGTGATCCTCGTGTACCGTTTATCACCCACCTTTTCGGATTTAGTTTTCCCAATGTGAGAGGGAGGTGCCATCTTCAGAGTTTTAAGCTGGTCGAAGTTGTGTGGCTAGAGATACATTGGAGGCAGCATGCAAACGTTAAAAATTAGTGATATATGATTTTCACTAAAAATCTCGGAGGAGCGACGTAGAGAAAGAATCCTCAGGACGACTTACTTACCCGTAAGAGACGATATCTCGAAGTTTCTAAGTACACGATATTGCTAAAACAACTACCACGTGCAATGTATAAAGAGAAAAAGAAGAAAGAAAAAAAAAAAAAAAAACATTCGACAACCCGTACACGATTGAGAAAGATAATCAAAAGTGTCATTAATAAAAATCTTTTAATTTACATAATCTAATAAATAATGTAGACATTATATTATTGTACATTGTGTTAATTGTAAATGGGAATCGTTTGAATATCAAAAACAAAAAGAAAGAAAGAAGGGCAGGAAAAAATAACTTTGTTAATGGGTTTTTTTGATATCGACTCTTGCGATACGTGCTTCGTCTCTGGGCAAAATCAACCATCATGCAACTCTTCTATTATTCTGTCTTCCTTTCTTGCATGCATTGCGAAGAGATAAAAGAGAAAGTGACATATACTGGGATCACTTGGCATTGAGCATCAATGTATCACGTACCATCGTCTTGCCAGTCCAGTCGAATTCTTCATCGTTGACAAAACCCCGTTTCTCGTACAAATCGTTGAAGAGATTCCTCAGGTATTCGTAGTCGGGCGTCTCGAAGAAATCCAATCTACGCACATATCGCAAATACGTAGCCATTTCTTCGGGATGCCCATCGCAAAGAATCTCGATCGGTGTGTTCCGCTTCGTATCCCCGATCTTCTGATATCGTTCTTTCAGCGTGTCCGCTTTCAGCCCTTGCCACGGAAGGCTACCACGCAGGAAATACATCAGCATGTTGCCCAACGCTTCCAGATCGTCTCTTCTGCTCTGCTCTGATAATAAAAAATACAAAATGAAAATCGTGTCGATACTATTCGTATACATTTCCGTCTATCGATCCGCTAGATCATCGATATTTTTCACTTATCTCAAATATTTTATATAACTTAATAACATTATTATATAATTTTCTCACACACACATATATATATTTTACTCATATTTTAACGGAATACAATCGGAGATATCGGCCACGTAACAAACAAACGTTCCTGGTGGATTTAATATAGCGTATCGCGACGCGTGCTCGCTTACAACTTTCTCCAGGACTCGACGGAGAACGTGCACGCGGCCGCCAAAGTTTTTTGAAAAGTTTGCTGCGCGGATGGGCCGACAGCGGGTGGCAATCGTCTCCTCGGATATCTAAAACGGCGAAGTAAAAGTTTTACCTTTTCCAAGGTGCGTGTTGATGCTCATGTAACGCGCTGTGCCCGTCAGGCTTTTGTGTTCCCGATACGGTATGTGTTTGTTCGTCTCCAAGTCTATGTACTCTTTGGCCAGTCCGAAATCGATGATGTGGATAATCTTTTCCCGTTTCGTTGTGGATCGTCCTATCAGGAAGTTTTCAGGCTTGATATCGCGGTAGATCAAATGCCGACTATGAACGTATTCTATCCTATAGAGCTGCATTAAAAAGGGAACGTTTCGATTAATATTTAAAAACTTTTAGCATCCAGTTTGTTATCAAGTTTTTTAAACTTGTCAAAAATTATTTTATCGATTAAATTTCGCAAGTTTCCTTCGTAAAAGATATTTGAATTTTCGAACAATTAACGTTTTAAGAATTTAGATAGTTAATCTAAATGGAATGGAATAGGCTACTATCGATTAATTCTACTTACGATCTGTGTGGCGATTTTGAGAACGGTCTTTAGGGTAAACCTCCTACCGCAGAGATCGAACAGATCCTCCAGACTTGGTCCGAGAAGTTCCATCACGAGAGCGTTGTACTTCCCGCAAGGACCGAAGTAATACACCTCTGGTACACCCTCTGTATACAATTCGTTGATCGATTAAATTGTAAAACGTTCGTGTAAATTTAATTTAATTAATCGCGTGTTCGATAGATATTACTCACCACTAGTTCCTAATAATTTGTAAAACCTATATTCTAAGTGTAGCTGCGGCGCCTTTGACCTCATTGGTTCCTGGAAAATGGAAAAAGACATCGTTTCGAAATAAAAGCGTCGAGGTTAAACAGGGTGTATGTAAAGCTAATGTTTCTTTAGAGGCTTGTTACTTGATTCAACGTGAAATCGATTTCACTATCATTAAAAGAAAATCATGCTAACGAGATCTTTAGACAAATGTAATAACATTTTCGAACTCACCAATTTAATTGCTACATGCTCGTTATTGTAGAGGTTCTTTCCTGTAACAAACAATACAAAATTTATAAAATACAAATTCTATATATATATATCTGTTGTATTTATATCTGTTTCATTATCGTGCCAAATTGAATGAATGGCACTCACACGTGCTATGCTGATTTTATTAATATCATTTTTTACATAGAAAGAATATTTTTACACGCATAAACGGTCTCTATTCAACAAATAACACGAACCGTGTGTAAATATTTAATTATACTCGTCCAAATTTTTGCAACGATAAATGTGTTCAATCGATATTTTGATTAGTTATTTTCGTGATAATTAATTGTATAGAGGGAAAAAAAAATTTCTTTAATTTTATTCGTGTTCACCTCCATTTCGACGGCATCGTAATCGCGCTATAATTCTCTATCTATAGAGACGACTCCCATCGTTGATTGTGCTTCGCGTGAGAAATTGGATTGACCAGATTTGCGGAATAACGTGTGCGGTCGTTGTGGTATTATGGTTACCGGTCATTAATGTTCACAAAGCTTCGTTGTCGCTTTTAAATTTATAATTCGATTTATACGCCATTTAAGCGGAACCTGGCACGGCCGACAAGCATGTTGGAAAGGCGCGACGCGAAAGTGGCTTCCGAAACATTCTCGAAGACATAAAATCTTGTCGTCAACCGAATTCGTATGCGCCAGAGGAAAGATAGAGTGACCTCAGGAACGTCAACTCCGTGACGAGAATCCCGGTATCGAGCGAGGAGGAGTCAAAGCCTCGAGAAGCCTTTACTTCGCGAGCTGTTTGCTCGTCGAAGAACAAGAAGAAGAAGAAGAAGAAAGAAAACTCGAGGCGTTCGAAAACAAAAAGTTGCTCGAATAACGAGTGGAAACTTTATTGGTAATTAAACGTGCATAATCATAACAATTGATAAGAATTCATTTCGTCGCCAATCTCTGCAAAGAACTCTGTCGAGAACACGTACCTCGCGAGCTTTCCAATTATTCGCTTAAATAAAAAAAAAAAGTATAAAATATTTCGACGATCCTCGAACCATTCGATTCGAGAAGAGTGCGTTCGAACACAACTCGAACGAGGGATCTCGACGGAAATCGATAGGAAGCGTGAAACGGTTAGTTAAGAGTTTGCCTCGTGCCAAGTATTTATTCCGCTAATCGGCATGGAGCGACGTTGATCGTTAGTACCAGGAGAGTCTAGAATTTAAACCCTCCGTATTCGCTATATCGACAAGTCACGGACCTAGATATGCGGTAAAGTCGTCTAAGCACGGAATCGACACGGTCTCCAAGGGGAATCTAGAGCCGGCGTACTTAGCCTCTCGCCGGAGACTTCACCTCTTCACGTGAACACGTGCGATTAAGGACGACAATTGGAATCTCGAGTCGCGGATCGCGAATGAATTACACGCGAGATGTAATTGACGAGTGCGCCACGGCGTTGAATCAATGCCGGATCTCACGTGCCGGCCGAGACGAGCTTAATGCGTGCGCGTGAACACGGACAGACATGGTTCGCGTCTAGCCGCGTGATGATATTGTACGTGAGCGGACACGCGGGAAGGAAATGCGTTTAGTAGCTGGAAATCGCGACGATGAGGAGGAGAAATATATATATATAGGTACTAGAACACATCGCGTGAAATATATTTGCCAACGCGTATCCATCCGGTCGGACATCCGTTCTGCCTTGTATCGATCCATCGGGCGAAGACGCGTGAAAAGTGTGCACGGTCATCGCACGAGGTTACCAAGATTTCTCTCTCGTTGCGAAAATGTGAAACGATTAATCGAGCGTCCCAAGACCGATGTCTAAGAACAGTTGCTAATTTAAAAAGGAAACGCGATCGATGATTTTGAAGATTTTTCGACGAAGAACGAAGTGTGTAAAAGATCGAAAGCAAAGAGTTAGCTCGAGAATCTGTTAAGACGATGAAAGTGAAAAAAAAAAGAAAAAAGAAAGAAAAGGGATCGTACAAGTGCAAAAGACGCGTACTTGTTTGCTGCGCCAATCCTTTTCCTATACGGGACAGCTGCACACCGATCCAATTCCGCTAAGGAGATAGTCGACAATGGAAAATATGTCAGCGGGAAAGCGCAAGACCCGCGGAAATTATTACAGCTCCGAATACCGTGGAAAAATTGATTTGTCCTCGAAAATAGGCCAACCCTCGCACAGTGTTGGCGATAAAGTTTGTGAAAATATTCGGAGCGCGTACGCGCGAGCGAGATATTTAAACGAGAACTCCTCCTCTTACGTATACGCTCTTGTTCTTCCTTCTTTTCGATTCGATTAGCCAACCAATTATGAATCATACTTTACTTTACGACGTAATTTCATAAAAAAATAGAAAACTCGAGATCGACGAAAATTAATTCGAAAATCCAAACGATCATCATCATTCCGGCCGAGTTCGAAGAAAAAAACTTGAAACCTTGGAAAAGAATAGAATCGCGATTCAATTGTTAATAACGGCGCGTTAATTAACCTCCGATTCTCCTTTGAGAGAAGAAGAAGAAAAAAAAAAAAGTGAAAGCGTATAACCGTGGACGAGGTGCACGATGGGTTCTCGAGTCGCGACTCGCGAGGTGGTTAACGTCGAGAAATAAATAGTACGTCGAGTCGTGGCACGCTCGTCTCAAAACCGAATCGCCGTAACTCGCGATCGCTTTCTCCCGCTTTCGTTCCAACCTTCCAACGATCGATCCCAATTACATAAAGCGAGAAATTACGAAACGATACACCCGATATATCCCGATACTTTGTTTTTTTCCCGCGTTTTTAAACACGCGTAACCGCGTGAAACTCTCGTTTAAAAATTCGAGAGCAACCCACGCGCGTTTTAACGCGACAATTAACGCGACCGTGGCTCGTGCCCGCTCGCGCCACACACGTACTAATCATAGAATTAATACTATATTATCTGTACGCAACAAACTGTACTTTACAACAAACGTCTCCTCCCATTTTACACGCGTCTATACACGTGTGACGTTCAATTTGATCGTTCGGTCGAGCGTCCCAGGGACGGTAAAAAACGGTAATAACGACAGGGCTCGAAAAAAGGATATTACTTTTTTCTCTCTCTCTTTCTTTTTCTCTTTTTAAGCGGTATCGATCTTTCCAACCGGACACCTTGTTTGTCGCACGATCGAACGTGGAACAAACGGTATTTGCACCAGCCCGTTCGAAATTTTCCCGACGATCGATCAATTACGATGCAAGTTTGAATCGCTGCGGGCCACGGGATCGATCCTTGTCCACGATATCGTGATTATCGAATTTTCCACCTTCCGCAACCTTGATGACGATGAAGTAACTCGTTCCGGAGTAACAGCTTTTTGGCTTGGCTTGGGAACGTTGGCGCCATCGAATTGCATCGAAACGTTGACACGAATATGGGACGACCTCCTATTACGTATATATTTGCATTGCAAGAACAAATGTATTGTGACGAGTTGAATACGAATTTAATACACAACAACCGGGATTCTCGTGTATAAAACGCATTTATGATTGTTTATTTTTATTCCTTTTTTTTTTTTTAACACATGTCGAAATCAATTACAAACTTGTTGAATCACGATTCTAATTTCTCCAAGTAAAGTTAGTTAAATCAATTCGTAATAGGTAACAGAATCGTACGACAGATAATGGATTAACGTCCCTTTTCAACTCGATCTCGACTCGAAAGAAAGAAATTACTCGTTTGTTATTATTAGAAATATTTGCATACGTTCTGGTGTGCCGCTCGAAGACCCGCGTATTTACATCATCGATTCCATAATCCATAATTACGTTATATCTCCGTTTTACCAACAATCGTGTCGTTCCAATTAATAATAATCCCCGCTAATAAATAATTAAGCATGTGTCTGTGTCGGGCGAGGATAGGAGAAATATTAAACGAAAATCATAGAATGGGAAAAAAGTATGCAACAGATAGATAAACGAGGATCGAACGAGGTCCGTGCGAATAAACAAGAAACGGTGCACTGCCTCTTTTCTCTTTCTCTCTCTCTCTCTCTCTGTTCATCGACCGAGAATTTGAAATTAATACGCGAAAGGGATCCAGGTCAAGTAATAACGCTGAAAGAGCTATTGTTTCCAACGTTTCAGCAACGAAACAAGATTTTCATCCGCAGACACCCTGTCTGTCCCGAGAGGTCGACAAAAGCGGTCGACTCCGTTTCCCGCCCACGCGTATCGGAATCGCTCCACTCCGCCATCCACTGGATTCGTTCGGTATGCACTTGACGTCTTTGACCCAATCCGCGCAAATGGCGGATGCATACGTGTATCACAGTGATCTCCTTTGTGACGTGCACCGATAATTAGACTCAAAGTTAAACGTGCGCGCTTGATAATTAGGATCGGAGCCTAAGCCTATTACTCGCGTCTTCCGTCCTGCTGCATTCGAGGAATTACGGCTATCAGCGGGGGAAAGCGTTGCTACTTTCGCAAGTTTGGCGAATTTTACTCGGTTCGATCTTTGTCCTTGTCTTTAACCCTTTCGCCACGGCCGACCTTTCTCCCGCCGCACCAAAAATGTGCACGAGAAAGATCGAATTGTTTTGACGGTGTTTATTGAAAAAAGAAAATTGACGATAAAAACAAAATATCGATGCCACGTTTCCAGAGAAAAGTACTCGACGCGCGATGAGTTCGATATACGCGGCATCTTGTGCAGAGTGACTTTGGTCGCCCGTAGTAGCGAAAGGGTTAAGGAGAAAGAGTTGCAGAATCCTTCTTCGCATTGAACGGAATAGCGATGTAGGGTTAAATTAAATTTGTTTAATCGCGGTCAACTTTTTACCTTAATCCGGTTTCCTGCGCGATTCTTACACGGCATCTTTCGGGTAATCGCCTTTCTCGAATCGAGGCAAGGATTCTCCGCCATAATGCAAAAATCCGACGATCCAATTACTTGGAAGAAGGGGATATCGCGGAAGTTGAGTTTGAGGGCGGAAAATGGAGATCCAGTTTGGCCGGTTGCTGGTCGGAAAGGACGGACCACGAATTTGCT